TTAACTAAAACTGGCTACATAAAATGTACTGACTAGATTCACGAGAGGTCGGCTAATGTGTGTAAAAGTAAAACAATACAGTAATTTCATTAATTTACCAGCTCCACGACACGCGTTAGTTCCTCATTCCAGAGTTCCTATGGCGGTCTATGGGAGTGTCGTAACTCTCTCTCTCTATGGCTCTCTGGACTACACTATTACAGGCTAAAGATTTTTTGTATAGAGTTGTTTACTTAAAACCTGTGTCTTTGTTCAGTAATCTTTGTCCTTGTTCAGAAAATGTTTAGTAACCATTACAAGCAATGCCAATAAACTGTTTTATTCTTATAAAAATTCATTTGTTCTGTGTACTTTATAACATTTTGAGGGCAATTGGGTGATGACAACAGAATAAGCAATTATATTTTTAAATTAATTTTCATCCAAACGAGGCGATTGAAAGCCCTGATAGGTCTGGTCACGACTTTGGAATTGTTGTCTGATGGTTGAAACCACACGAGAGGCTTCTTCTGCTCTTGCTTAAAACACCATAAGCCCAGCATATAGCCTGTCTGTATGCACTGTACTGGTATTGCCTAGGATAAGTAGGAAAGATTCTTAAGTTTTAAACTCTGTAAGTAGATTGGAAACGTCTCTGATTCATGTTTATTGTGTATGCAACACATCTCCTGTCACCTATAGCTGTTGTTCATGAACATACTCATGCGTGCTGGTTTGAAGGGGACCATTATCTTGCATGAAGTGTGAGTATGCTATGTGTAGCACAAATGGATTCAGGCATTATGCCTCATATCCAGAATGCTGGATATGTACACGTTACATCTGTATCAGTATATTTAAAGTAGCCTGCCTCCTCTGTATGGATAGAAAATTGTTATATTACAAGACACAAATTCAGATAGGCTTCTCAGAGCCTGTTTTATTACAGGTTTGAATGAATGAAATGTCTCTTCTGTATTAGAAAAATAAATATATAATTATTTTAGGTTTGAATGAATGAAATGTCTCTTCTGTATTAGAAAAATAAATATATAATTAAGAAATAACTAAAATAAATACCTCCAAATGTAACAAAAATAGCTCTCACAAACTTACAAAAACGAACTAACAAAATGTATCTAGTTTTCTTCCTCCTTATCCTGTTTTTCTTCCTCATGCTTGTTTGCCCATCTGATCTTTCCCAGAAGTTTTTTGAAAACCAGGACATTTTCATAATTAAAAAAATAAAATAAAAACAGCCAGGACAGGACGTGAAAACAGAAAATGTCCTGGTAAAACAGGACTGTTGGTCACCCTAACCAAGTCTAAAGTCAGTGGCGCGTTGCGTGTACTTTCAGTCAGATGCTATTTTATCCGCATGCTTGCAGATACAGAGTGAACAACGCGCATACACATAGTAGATGATTCTCTCATTTACACAGATGCATTTTACTTTTTACAAATGATGCATTATTATAAGGAAAACTATTTAAACACGAGGGAAATCATTGTTGTGTTCATGATGACGATAGGAAAAATAGGCATAAAGCATACACATTTGCCCAAATTGATATGCATAACCGAAGCTAATATGGGTGGGTTTGTCCCATCCCCAATGTCACTTCTATTTCTTTTACAGCCCTGACGAGAACATCGATCTCCTCGGCTTTGAACCATCAGACTTTGTGAACCGATTCTGAAGCGCGCCGCTGCCTGCAGCCTGCAGCTGCGTCTGCCTCATGTGACGTCATCGCCGAGTCGCGTGAAAAATAACCGTCACTAAACAAAAACTACAAAAACGGGACTTTAACACCATTTTTGAGATATTTCTAACTTCATATACATATCTTAACTGCTTTATGTACCCATTAATCGACAGTAGTGTTTAACCTGCACCATGGCCTTTAATGTCCTTCACCAGGATGTTCCGCCAATGAAGATTTCTGAAACATCAGTACACACCACTTACATCAGCTTGCACTGTAGATGCATACAGATTTCTGCATATGCGGTCATTTAAATTTCAGCTTCACACTTGATACCTGTGTTCAAAGCTCAGGGCTTGCTCAGCAACAGCCAAAGCTGCGGTGACTTGATGTAGAACACTCTTGGCCTGGGTCAAGGATTTTAGCTGCAATGGTACACAAAAACAAAACTTTTAAGTTGTCATAATGATACAATATAGCTCAAAGTAAATGGACAATCACTTCTAATTAACAGGTTTAGATATTACAGTAATTCTTAAAGGGATAGTTCACCCTAAAAGGAAAACATCCTTGTGCCATTTCCAATTAAGATATTTTTTAATGAAATAATGAGATTTATGCCAGTCTACCAAAACTTTTTTTGATCACAAAGTTCATAAAAATATTTTAAACTAAATCCAAATTAGACAAACGGTGTAATGAAAGTCCTCCGAAGAGACATGAAGACTTTAGGTGAAAAAAACCCCACATCAAATATGGTAAAAGGAAGCTCAACTATGCTTTACTGATGTGCGAGAACTAGGGGTGTCACGAGATGCTTATCCCACGAGACGAGACCGGACACGAGATTCACGAGAACGAGACGAGATTTTTGCACAACTTTTCAGAAATCCTCAATGACAAAATGCATGACTGGAAAAATGGCATGCAGGTGCATTTTGCAATCTTTTAACTAGTGCTGTCAAACAATTAAAATATTTAATCACGATTAATCGCATTAATGTCATAGTTAACTTGCGATTATTCGTACATTTTTATCTATTCTAAATGTCTTTTGATTTCTTTTCGTTACATTATTTTTTTCTCATTTTAATGCTCTTATCAACATGGAAAAGTGGATTGGCTTGTTTAGTGCAAATGTTTTTTTATTATTATTATTATTGAAAATAACATTGGAATAGTGCTCAATTTCACACTAACGTATATAAATAACCTCTCACACAATGCAACACTGTCTATCAATAAAAGGGTGAAAGAAATACTGACGAGGTCCTGATAGTGACGAGGGGGTGGAGAATTCGCATCATCTTTGTGTGTGTTTGCTTTGAGTGGATGACGAGCGCGAGACGCCAAAATGGATCAGGAGGCATGCCTGTTGCCAGGTCCTGTTGCAAAAGAATGTGAAAAAACTACAAAGTTTGCTAGGACAAAAAGTCCGTTAATCACACGATAAAAAAAAATTAACGCCGTTAAAATGGGTTTGCGTTAACGCCATTTAAACGCGTTAAACTGACAGCCCTACTTTTAACTAATAATGCACTAATGCATGTCATTTCAGGTCTACTTTGAGTATGAATTATCAAATGCATTTAAAGGGTCATGAACCCCCCTTTCAGCTAAAGTCTAGCTCAATCTTTTTGAAAAATGCAACTGAAATGGGCGTGGCTAGCTGTGAGAAGAAGGGAGGGAGTGGGTGTTGTATGACCATCACTGTCACTGTCCCATGCATTTCGACTGTCACTAAAAAGCAATGGTAAAACGTGAGGAAATGCTAGATTTTTATATAGCTGGCAAAGTTAAAGTCTTATGAAGTACACTGACCCTTTATTATTGTCCTTTCAAAAGTAACTGAATTTCCTACTACAAATATTAGCCTACAATAATTGCAATTCTAATTAAAACATATTAATGTAGGCTACATGTATATTTATAATGTCATTATAAAATGTATAGTGGTTTATATAGACACTATAAATACATTTCAGAAAAAAATTATTAATTTTCCGCTTAAAAAAAAATCGTTCCGTGCATAGTCATAGACAGTAAAAGAAAGTGCATACTCTACACCCCCTCTGAACCCTCATAATAAATGACTTCTCATTTTACACACACACACACACACACACACACACACACATTCTGACGGAGGCCCCCTAATGGGGCCCACAAGTTTTTTTATGCGTTGTGGGATCCACCCTTTGCAGTGGTCCTACACTGCTGTAAAAAATAACATTAGATCTAAAAAAAAATCTAAATCATTAATATCACTTCAATTTGACAAATTTCTAAAGTTTTGTCAAAAAAGGTATTTGGCCCCTTGTGGGCCCCGTTTCTAGGATTGCCGACTTGTGGGGTCTGTCCACATACACACATACATACCAAGTTTTTATATGTTAATGGGGCCCAAGGTCACTATCTGCAGCTGCTGACACCAGCCTTTATTATTACTCCCAGTTTCCTTATTTTGGACTAAAATAGTTTTGTAATGAGTAATTATAATAATTAAAATGAGTAATTATAGTAATTATGTATATGTGAAACTTTCCATCTGCCTTTACAGATAACAAGACATACGACTTTAAAGACAGTTTTATGACAACATAAATGACCAGTTTTATTTTAAGTATGCCACACAGTTTATGCCACACAGTTGTCAGTCAAACTTTTTATGAAATGATTAAAACAAATTTTTGTTTTTAAACAACAAACAAATTACATTTTAGAAAGTTAACAAATTTTGAAATCATGATACACAGATATTTAAAGAAATGAAAAATCCTTGAAATGTGAAATATTTAACATATTCCCAACACACTTTCAGTGTTCAGGCCCTAAAATAAATAAAAAATATATATTAAAATAAACAAGAATAAATCAATATCCATCCAACATCCATCCATATATCCAACATCTACCCTACATCCATCCATCCAACATCTACCCTTTATTCATCCATCCAACATCTAGCCTACATCCATCCTTCCAACATCTAGCCTACATCCATCCTTCCAACATCTAGCCTACATCCATCCTTCCAACATCTACCCTACATCCATCCTTCCAACATCTACCCTACATCCATCCTTCCAACATCTACCCTACATCCATCCTTCCAACATCTATCCTACATCCATCCTTCCAACATCTACCCTACATCCATCCTTCCAACATCTACCCTACATCCATCCTTCCAACATCTACCCTACATCCATCCTTCCAACATCTATCCTACATCCATCCTTCCAACATCTACCCTACATCCATCCTTCCAACATCTACCCTACATCCATCCTTCCAACATCTATCCTACATCCATCCTTCCAACATCTATCCTACATCCATCCTTCCAACATCTACCCTACATCCATCCTTCCAACATCTACCCTACATCCATCCTTCCAACATCTACCCTACATCCATCCTTCCAACATCTACCCTACATCCATCCTTCCAACATCTATCCTACATCCATCCAACATTCATTACCTCAGTTCCAGTGCTTTTCACACTAGACTTTTCTTCTCAGGGCTGTAATGTGATTTTTAACATATATTTAACTGCTTTCCAGTCTCTATTTCTGAGAGCTTGAGGTTCTGCAGTAATGCAGCGCTGACATTCTTCTTTCCCAGGAACTTGATTCATTGATTCTTGATTCAATCCCCAAAAATTCATCCATCCATCTAATATCCACCCTACATCCATCCAACATTCATCCATCCAACATCTACCCTACATCCATCCAACATTCATCCAGCCATCATCTACTCTACATCCATCCAACATTCATCCAGCCATCATCTATCCTACATCCATCCAACATTCATCCATCCAACATCTTCTCTACATCCATCCAACATTCATCCATCCAACATTCATCCAGGCATCATCTATCCTACATCCACCCATCTCTCAAAAATCCATCCAACATCCATCCATCCATCTATTCAAAAATAAAATTAAATAAGTGCTGTGAAGAACTGTGAAATGTGTTAAAAAAAATGAAAATTTGAAGGCCACTGGACACCCATAAAACCTGAGCAAACCCCTACAACAAGGTTACAACAGAACACAACCAAAGACTAAAATTTTAAGATCCTACCTCAAATCTTTTGGTTTTACCTCAGTTCCAGTGCTTTTCACACTAGACTTTTCTTCTCAGAGCTGTAATGCGATTTTTGACATAATATTTAACTGCTTTCCAGTCTCTATTTCTGAGAGCTTGAGGTTCTGCAGTAATGCAGCGCTGACATTCTTCTTTCCCAGGAACTTGATTCATTACAATAAATCTCCTCAAATGTGTGTCCACGGCAGCACACTCGTCTGGGGTCCAGCTTCTTTTGACGGCCGTTTGTTTTCCTATGTAGGCAAAAACACAAAACATTGTAGGTTTTCTTTTATAAATAAATTTTTATCTTACTTAACCCTGTAAGACCCACTGTTTCAGAATTACATCAATTGTGGTTATTCCCCAAAACCCCCTTTGTCTTTTTTAATTGTTTGTTTTCCACATCAATATGATCTGTGGGTCCTACATTTTATTCCCACCACGTAATTGAATCCAGGATTTGTGTACAAAGCCCACCCTTAAGTCAAGAAATGACACATCCAACAACTTTCTGATCAAGCAACATGCCTTTGATTTACTGGACTGGATTCATCTTCAAGTAAGTAAAATGCTTGGAATATGTTTTTCTGTGTTTATTACAGTGTCTAGAGCAACTTGCGCCATGATGTTATTTTGGAATGATATGCAGAAGTTATCTGCGGTGTCCAGAGCCGTTGTCAAGCCCTCTCCTTTCTGCCACCAATCAACGCGCCCCTCATTTGCATTATTAAAATTACCGCCCACGACAGCCAAAATATCGCATCAGATCTCGCGAGACAATAATGCATTCAGAAATAAGGGTCATATGAGCTCTGTGTTTATTTATTTTTTTCACTTTTCTTTTTTAGAAGGGCCTGAAAGACTATAATAGAGCGTGGGTATCCAAGGTAATACGAGGTTATGACTCCTTTAAGGTGAACATCTTGAGGGGAACTTAAATGAAAATGTTCACAACAAATTATACATGATTTAAACATTATACCCTTTAGCTTTTTGTCAGATTACATATTCTTTACTGTATTAGAGACTACAGTTGAAAGATATATTGCAATATCTAAACATTAGAATTTGCTATCACATTCTGCAGGACTTTCTAACAAAGAAATTCTGTTTGCACAAAATGTTCTCATCAATTTATAGTCAAAGTGCTTATTATCATTAGGCCAATAACCTTTATTTAACCAGGTCTGACCCATTGAGACCCAAGATGTCCTCTTATGTAAGAGACACCTGGCCAATCCTCCAAGCGGTGCTTTGTTCTGACACAGGTGTAAATGTTCATCACTGTTAGATTTTGTTGTAAACTGGACGGTGAATGCATTCCTGTAAGGATTACAATCACAGTCTACTATAGGTGAGCCATTAGGTATAATGTGACCGGTGAGATGTGTGAATAGGCTGCTTCAGTCCAAAGTGTGAACACGTCATAATGAGGCATGTGTGCTATTTGTATATACAAATGTACATTTGTTTCAATTTTATCTATTTCTTTTCAGAATGCCACCAGCAAAGGAGAAATCCTCGGTACAATGTGCACAATGTAATCCAAAAGTTTGTGTCAGAAGATTTGGTTCAAGCTCTGGCAACAAATACGAATGAGTACAGCTTTCAAAATGACGAAAGATCAGTCAACACTAATACAAAAGAAATACAGGCAGCATTGGGCATGTACCTGAGGATGGAACATTACATTTTGTAAACAATTTAACCTTGCCAGAGACTGACAAGAGGGACAAACTCTGGAAACTCAGACCACAGCTTGATTCAAAACTGCCTGCAGATGGTACCAGAAAAGCACATTCCATGGACAAGATGATGATCCCCTTCAACAGGAAGTTCAGCGGCATCAAGAAGTATATGCAAGGTAATCTACGCTCATGGGGCTTTGAAGTATGGGTGAAAGCTGAAATCTCTAGCATGATGCTTGACTTTGATGTTTACCAAGGGAGCAACAATGAAGTACGAGTCAAATCTAAACTTGGATTGTCAGGTGGTGTTGTAATGAAGCTTGCCTCCACATTTCCAAAGGGTCAACACAACAAGATCTAGGCAGACAACCACTTCACCTCCATTCCACTGGTAGTGAAGCTCCTTGAGGAAGGAATACATTATGTGTGAACAGCCAGGCAAATGCATCTACCGAACAGTAATCTTTACATGCGAAGAGCTTGAAGAAGAAGGGCAGAGGAAGCTTTGACCACAGAGTGGTGGGGAAACAACATCTGTGCTGTCAAATGGTACGACAACAGGGCGGTGACACTTGTGTCATCCTTCGCTGGACCAGGACCTGTTCAGGAGATTCAAGACTGGGACAAAGCCGCCAAAACCTACATTGACGTTAGAAAGGCTTCCATTGTGGGCATCTACAATAAATACATGGGAGGTGTGGATCTGTTGGACTCAATTACAGCAAATCACAAGTATGCACTGAAATCCTGGTGGTGGTACATGTGCATCTTCTGGCACACAATGACCCTTACTGTGGTCAACGCCTGGCTCCTCTACAAGCAGCACAGCCTATGCTCTCAGGATGCCAAAGAAGGAGATACTGAACATGAGAAAGTTCCAAGCACAGCTGGCTTCCTCTCTCATTCCGGTAATGATCTATTTGTGCTATTTACCTTGTTCGTGAAAAATCAGACTGGTATTTGAGATGTACATAAATTGAGACATTTGTTCTTTAGATTCTAATCTGGTGGACAGAACACTGAAAACGCCAAAGAGAGGACGGCCATTTTCAGCCAACAAGAGCCCAGAGACAGGAGCCCTCTGAATGGTGGAAAGAGACCACACATGGATGATGGAAGTCCAAAGGCTCCCTCTTCTAAAAAGTCACGCAAACCACCGCCCATGGACGTGCGCATGGACCAAACTGGACATTTCCCCCTGAAGACAAAGAGAGGGCTCTGCAGATGTTGCAGTAAAGGGTACACCAATACCCAAAGCAGCAAGTGTGATGTCCGCCTCTGTTTTTCAGAGGACAGGAACCGTTTCTGGGATTACCACTATAGAGAAGAGAGAACACTGCAGACGTTGCACTGTTAACAATGTAAATAAATAAAGTTCTTATTTGTTGGAATAAACAACTCTTCATAATAACATGACTGAGATTATTATTCATTTTATACACTGGTTTGAGACTTGGATGAAGGAACACTAGCAGTTAGGAGTTATTTAAGGTGATGGGAGGTTGTTGGAGTTTTTCAACTGGTCACTGTACACCTCTGTCGTTGGAGGAAATACAAGCATTTTTCCTGAATAACTCCATAAAGTGTTAAAGATTTTTTTTTTCTTTAATATAACAGACTTCTTATTGATATAAAGGTGATAATGGCAGTCTTTCCCCAACCCTGGCACCGGACAGTAAGGAGGGATATTAAAAATATTTAAATATTTAAAGTGTTGAGTCAAGGAAGCAAAGTAAAAGACCTTAAAAAATAAATGAGCAACTCTGGCCCAAAAGAGAGAGCAAGCCCCAAAGCTTACCTCTCTTTTTTGCAGACACACTCCGGTTTTGGACTTGTGATGTGGAGGGACATTCTTGCAGGGATGACACGCTGACCTCATCTTCTGACCCCTCTTCTCTTGGCATACTGACATCTGGACAAAGAAATAACTTTATTGTAGTATACACAACATGAAATACGTAATAGCCGTCAGTACAGTGGTTGTGTTATTTTATAAAATAATTCAGTTTATTTATATAGCCCTGATTCACAACAGATGTCGTCTCGAGGCACTTAACAAGAAGTCAGTATATGGGATTTGTGTCCCTTACAGAGACACTGTTTATTTCATCCCATCTCCTATCGTCCTAAATTCTTCTCAAGTGACTAGTGACGTGAAAATATTAGTTTTCATGTTAGCCCAGGGATGAGCAACTCCAGTCCTCAAGGGCCACTATTCTGCAGGTCTGAGGTGTTTCCCTGCTTCAACACACCTGATTCAAATTAAATAGATCAAACAGCTTGTTGCCAAGCTCTGCAAAATGAATCAGGTGTGTTGCAGCAGGGAAACATAAAAGGACCTAAAGGATAGTGGCCCTCAAGCAGTACATTTCCTCATATAGTATACGGACGACAGACCGTTCCCACGCAGTCCACTAGTGCTGAAGTAGCTGCGCGCTGTAAAGATTGTATGTTGGACAATATAAGATGAACTGATTTCATCAGACAGAGAGCGACTGTAGTTACCATCACAAGTAGCATTAACGTTTAGGTTAGTGTGCCCTCACCTACTGTTTATAGGTTGCTCCAATCTCACGGCGCAGACTTCACGCAGGGATTGCACGGCTACTCAAACATTTGTCCTCCTCAACTATGTACGAGTACAAAGTTACAGCGAGTCGAGTACGAGTACGCAGATGAGGAGGTAACATGTCAAGACGACACGGCTGTACGAGTTTATTTGATGTCATCTAACCCGATGGCATGTGCGTTTGAGCCAGTGATGAGGAGGAGAGTTGAGAGACCCGTTTTTTGCGGAAGTTGAGGGAGCTGCAGTGGCTCCGGAGGAGAGGGTCGGCAATCCTTTGCAGTGCAAGTGCAGTCACTGCGATCAACCGTGGAGTCTGTTTGCTGCCATGAACCAGACTTGGATAATGTGCTCAGGGAATTGTCCTGCATCACCTTATCCAGCTCATTTCAGATGTTCTGTAGTGACAGGGACGTGTTGGAGTAGCTGTGCTATCCCTGTATGAAGTCCGTGCCGAGAGATTAGAGCAACCTATAAGCAATAGGTGGGTTCACGCTAACCACAAAATGAATGCTACTTGTAATTTCAGGCAGTACTGAAGCAGTGTTCAGTTTTAAAACTGGGGTTGTGTTTGACTGATTGTGCAGCCTCTGCATCAGACAGGTCTCCTGACAGAGTTGCAGGAGAAAGAGGTGGGTAGGACAAAGAAGGGAGATGGAGTTGTTGATGTTCAATTTTTTGCCAAGTGCCGTGTGAAATGCACGAAAGGAAAGGTAAGAATTGCGTTCAAGCTCACCGGTTGAAGACACTCTCTGGTTTTGACTTTGTGATGTGGAGGTACATTCTTGCGTGGATGATATGAGCTCATCGTCTGACCCATCATCTCTTAGCATACCGACATCTGGAGAGGGAAATAACTCATGAATACACAAAATATCTAAAACGGATCATTTAGAATCAATTTAGGAACATCGTATACACATACCTTCAATATCCTCAGCTAAAGGTCCCTCCATGTCAATGGTCTCTAAAATGATAATTGATAAAAAATTGAGATTGGAAAGCTGAAACTATGGGCAATCTGCAAGAGTATACAACAGTAGTATTATCTCTCATCCCGTCACTATTACTGCCCTATGCTTTACATTGCAAATAGTTGTTTTCTGAATGCGGAAGACTAAATGTCATATATTGTGCCTTCAGGAATATAAAGTTAATTACCATTCACATCGACTTGTATTTCATCGAGGCTCTTTCCTTTGTAATCTCCTAGGCGTCCTTGTTCCATTGCGAGGAGGACTTTACTCACTTTGGCTAATTGGAGGGTGCTTTCTGGGAGCCTGTAGTGTTTCCTGTGAACAGCGATATTATGACCGAGGAAGTCTGCCAACTGGTCGAGCTCGGTGGTTTTGAGGTTCAAAACAGTAGACAGGGTAGCAATATGTTTCCTCAGTTGAATTGATTTTAGCGCTTGAGGATTTTTTATGTCACCGCATTCACTGACAAATTGCCTCATGCAGTCACAAGCCCTGAGGTAATGGGCAGATTGTGGCAATGCAAACAGATATTCATTGTCCTTCAGCACCCCACATACTTCTCTGCACTCAGTAAGAGCATCAAGTGATTCTCTCATTAATGGGGTTAGAAGAACTGGAACCTTCCTTCCTCTTTTTCCAACAATTGCTATTCGCACGAAATGCCTGCAGAGCTTCTGCTCAAGCGGTGTGAGGGCCAAATTTACATCTCCCTGTTCCTCTGATGTGTCTTTCGATAAGTATGCAGACAGGTGCATTCGGGACACTTCACCTGCTCTCCGCCGATTAAAAAGCATAACTTGAGTCAACGTTACTTTTGCAAGTTCCTTCCAATTTGTGGATGAATGATGTTCTTTTAAATCTTTGAGATGTTGCTGCTGTTTTTCTTCTAGATAGCAATGTAGCTTTTGGATATCTTGTGTAAGAGGTAAAAGTTGCGGTGCATTCCATTTGGCCCGGTTAAGCTGGGTTAATGCCTGGCCTGCAATATCAAACCTCCAACTCTCTAAATACAACTGTGCGAACTCCTCAGCATCTTTAATGGTTTCCTTATCTCTCTTTTTCAGTCCTTCGGACTTGATAAACATAGCCAACGAATGCAGGCTGTGTCCTACCTTGCGTGCAAGAGATGGACATTGGTATATCCCAGTTTCCTCACTGAATCCAGATAGGTTCTTTGCAGCTCTGACAACCTGTGAGTACTGTTCAGGTTTGATGAGTTCTTGAATGGTCCTCACACGTGTGATTTTTTTAGCTTCCAATAAAAGCCTGCCAAGTTCTCGCAGTTTTTGGCGTATATACTGGTGTTGACTGACTATCTTCTCATTCTTTTTGAACAACCTGAACCCATAATTGAGGATGCAGTTGTCTCCTTTAATTGCAACTGTGATCTCGTCCTGAATCATTACACTCAAGAACTTCCAATACGCATCTGTATATTCTGATGGAGAAGGTTCAGCGAAAGCACATAATGCCTGAACTCTATTTTTACCAGGTTTAGCATTTTTGGGTTTGAAGCTGCAGACCTTGAAATGCCGCCACATCGCTCTTCTTGAGAACAGCCCATAGCAATGAATGCAATGTGCAAATTTATGTCCGTCTGACTTTTTTACTGGTTGTTTACATGGGATTAGTTTTCCTTTTTTTTTTTCCAAAACATGACTGTTGTGCTCGAAGTTTCCCTTATTTCGTATGTAGTCCAATTGTAGTTTTCTTTCCTTTGAGTTTTTTGGTAAACTGAATGCTTTCGCAACATCCGATTCATCTTGGTGTTTACGCCATAAGTGTCTTGACATTTTCTGGACAAACTTCTTGCAATAAAAGCAGAAATGTTTCTTGTTATAGCTTCTGGATCCGTCATCTTTCTTTAAAGTTGGACTGACAATCATGTACTGCTCTTCTTCCAGGGGCACTGAAACACTGTTTTCAGAAAATGTTGCGATTTCCTTTTCATTCCCATCAACTCTGCTATTTGGAAATCTTTGTGTGGGATCATGACATCTTTCCAAAAGTCTTCTCTGGCTAAAGTCAAATTGGCTATGACTAGAGGACTCGCTTCCACTCTCTCGGGAGGATCTACTTCCACTCTCCATGGACTTAGACTTGCTCTGTCTGGAGGACTCGCTTCCACTCTTTCGTGAGGATCTACTTCCACTTTCCCCGGGCTTAGACTTGCTCTGTCTGGAGGACTCGCTTCCACTCTTTCGTGAGGATCTACTTCCACTCTCCATGGACTTAGACTTGCTCTGTCTGGAGGACTCGCTTCCACTCTCTCGGGAGGATCTACTTCCACTCTCCATGGACTTAGACTTGCTCTGTCTGGAGGACTCGCTTCCACTCTTTCGTGAGGATCTACTTCCACTCTCCATGGACTTAGACTTGCTCTGTCTGGAGGACTCGCTTCCACTCTCTCGGGAGGATCTACTTCCACTCTCCATGGACTTAGACTTGCTCTGTCTGGAGGACTCGCTTCCACTCTTTCGTGAGGATCTACTTCCACTTTCCCCGGGCTTAGACTTGCTCTGTCTGGAGGACTCGCTTCCACTCTCTCGGGAGGATCTACTTCTTTCTCTGGGCTTAAACTTGCTCTTACCGGATGATGCACCTTTCTTCTTTTTTTCCTTTTCCAGGGTTAATTCCATACTGCTATCACTTTCTGTGCTTTCATCCCTGGGATTTGGAATATACTCCTCTTCGCTACCTAAGTTTGAGTCATCTGATTCCACGAGATTCATCTGAATCTTTAAAAACAAACACAAATCTGTTAATACCTATTTTTTCAAAATTACATATAAAAACCTGAGTATACTGATTGAACAGGGTCAGGATACTAAATGAAGAAAAATCTGTATGGACCATTTTCAATACAAGTACATTTTTAAATTAGAAGAATCCCCATTAGACTCACTAGCAAGAGCAACTGCCCAGCCCTGACCAGCCCTAGCCCCAGACCAGCCCTAGCCCCAGCCCTAGAGCCCAGCCCTACCAGCCCTAGCCCAGCCCAGACCAGCCCTAGCCCCCCAGCCCTAGCCCTAGCCCCAGCCCTAGACCAGCCCTAGACCAGCCCTAGACCAGCCCCAGCCCAGCCCAGCCCTAGCTCCAGCCCTAGACCAGCCCCAGTCCTAGCTCCAGCCCTAGACCAGCCCTAGCCCCATCCTAGCCCCAGCCCTAGACCAGCCCCAGTCCTAGCTCCAGCCCTAGACCAGCCCTAGCCCCATCCCTAGCCCCAGCCCTAGCCCAGCCCTAGACCAGCCCCATCCCTAGCCCCAGCCCTAGACCAGCCCCAGCCAAAAAAAAAAAAAAAAAGACTTACGGGACGGCAAGACCTTCTTCTCAGCTTCTGTGAAACCCTTTCAGGATTAAAAAAAGGAGTCTCCTCTGCACTGTCACTACTTGAATCATGGAGACCGTGTGTAAAATCTTGTACTCTATCCATCTGCAAAAAGGGAGACATGGAGATGTTTTGTTGTATGATTGCTGTATTTTTAATTGATAGGGAGACCATTCAGGGGTTGTCAGGTGAGCTAGACACCTATGAAAATTATTGACCAATATTACCCCTCCATCAACCTGCTGAAGCCCATGTCCAAACTGCCTTCCAGGTGAAGTAAACGTTGACAAAAATATATATATATATATAAAAAAAAAGAGTAACATTTCAGTTTTCATCCATTTAATTGTTAAAATTAATGACTTCACAAGAATGATTCATCATAATAATATAGTGTCATTCCTGTAGACATGGAACTACTCCAGAGAGAGGGAGAGATTAGTCAATAATTTTCCAAAGTGTCTTCCTCACCTCACAATTGTCTCCCTATCAATTAAAAATCAGCAATTAGTCAGAAAAGAAAAGAAGAGTTGAGCTTCTCTAATAAATGATTACTGATCGATTGTTGGTGAACTCTATTTAATTGATAATTTAATGCACCAGGTGAGGCGGAGGACTCAACCAGATTTTGGCAACAGAGACCGGCCACTAGGCACGTTGTATCTTTTTTTTTTTTTTTAAACACACCTGAGCGCTGATCACTGGACATCACTCCTGCAGGTGTTTATGCCAGTCCAATAGATTCAATTTCAAATGAGTCCATTTAAATTCAGATTTTAAAAGCAATTGTTCAAAACAATCGATTCAGGTTCAAAGTAAATGATTCCCATTCAAATATAAAATAATTCAAATTCACTTACTAGTGGCACAAAAATTATCACATAAGCAAGTTAATTATATTGTTAAAATGTGTTTCGGGGCATACCAGAATGCTTTTTGTGCGTCTCAGCCGTGGAACAAGTTCATCATCCGATTCATTGTTGGAATGGTTGCTTGAAGAAGCCTCATCACAAGTTTCTTTCACAACAGTTTCATCTGAATTGTACAAATGATCTGAAACATCTGGGCCAATATCATTCTGCCCTATAATAACATCCAGGTGTGGGGTGGGAGGTTCGTTTTCCATACCATCCTCATCAGTTTCATCACTATCTGGATAATCAACCAGTGAAAATCCTTGGACAGTAAATACCTAAAAAATAAACAAAAATGTATTAAGTATGGAATTAGAAAGGTTGGCCAAAGAAACATGGCATGGTCTGACTAAAAATCTAAATCCAGAAATGTGAACACCAGCCCTTTTAGACAGTGTAGAATTATAAATGTTAAAATCAGAGTACAGTTATACTGAAGTATTACAATACTATCATATAGTTGCCTGAGGAAGACCATTTGGATCCCCACGTTGGTAACACTTTATTTGAAATGGTGTGCATAAGACTGACATAACACTGTCATAAACTTGACATAACACCTGTCATGAACATGAAGTAGTCTTTATGAATGTTTATGACTTTTGTCATTAAGTGTCATTCGGTAAATTATGACACTTTTAATGCAAAGTGTGTGACGTTACCTGGCCTTTAACAGCCAATATAAAGCAACATAAGCATTGGTCCACTTTAGTAATAGAACGCCACATACATGTCAGCATAGATGAAGTGTTTGAAAGTACTTTTACCTCTGAGCAGGTCTGATCTGGGTTTGGTCCATCATTTAGCATCTGAGGAACAGGGCTGGTCTCATTCTCTTCAGCTGCATCAGGAGTCTGAAGGCCTTTCACCTGAAATAGACAGACAAGAAGAGACTCAGAACTGTATGAAGAGACATTCACAGGCTAATACAGTCATCTAATGGTGAAACAGCACTGAACTTTGTGGACTAAAAAGCAGCTCACGTCTATTCAAGGAGTTTAGAGTGGATCAAATGAAAATATTTCTTTAAAACATCTAACAGCTCAGATACAGTATGCAATTATGAATGTTAAAATCATAGTTGAGGTCTTGTCAGGTGTTGCTATAGTGCATTAAAAGCACTTACAGTAAGAACTGGACGGAAGGGCCCCACAAGGGTCTGACTAAAGACATGTGAGTGTGTAAAGGAGAGACTAGAGAAACAAGTGTATTTGGAAGATGGAAGGAAGGACCCCATAAGGACATGACTGGAAACATGACGGTGTGTGTGACATTACCTGGCCTTTAACAGCCAATATAAAGCCACATAAGCATTGGTCCACTTTAGTAATAGAACACAACCACATACATGTCAGTATAGATGAAGTGTTTGAAAGTACTTTTACCTCTGAGCAGGTCTGATCTGGGTTTGGTCCATCATTTAGCATCTGAGGAACAGGGCTGGTCTCATTCTCTACTGCTGCAGCAGGAGTCTGAAGGCCTTTCACCTGAAATAGACAGACAGAGACTCAGAACTGTATGAAGAGACATTCACAGGCTAATACAGTCATCTAATGGTGAAACAGCACTGAACTTTGTGGACTAAAAAGCAGCTCACGTCTATTCAAGGAGTTTAGAGTGGATCAAATGAAAATATTTCCTTAAAACATCTAACAGCTCAGATACAGTATGCAATTATGAATGTTAAAATCATAGTTGAGGTCTTGTCAGGTGTTGCTATAGTGCATTAAAAGCACTTACAGTAAGAACTGGACGGAAGGGCCCCACAAGGGTCTGACTACAGACATGTGAGTGTGTAAAGGAGAGACTAGAGAAACAAGTGTATTTGGAAGATGGAAGGAAGGACCCCATAAGGACATGACTGGAAACATGACGGTGTGTGTGACGTTACCTGGCCTTTAACAGCCAATATAAAGCCACATAAGCATTGGTCCACTTTAGTAATAGAACGCCACATACATGTCAGCATAGATGAAGTGTTTGAAAGTACTTTTACCTCTGAGCAGGTCTGATCTGGGTTTGGGCCATCATTTAGCATCTGAGGAACAGGGCTGGTCTCATTCTCTACTGCGGCAGCAGGAGTCTGAAGGCCTTTCACCTGAAATAGACAGACAAGAAGAGACTCAGAACTGTATGAAGAGACATTCACAGGCTAATACAGTCATCTAATGGTGAAACAACACTGAACTTTGTGGACTAAAAAGCAGCTCACGTCTATTCAAGGAGTTTGCAGGGGATGAAATGAAAATATTTCCTTAAAACATCTAACAGCTCAGATACAGTATACAATTATGAATGTTAAAATCATAGTTGAGGTCTTGTCAGGTGTTGCTATAGTGCATTAGAAACACTTACAGTAAGAACTGGACGGAAGGGCCCCACAAGGGTCTGACTACAGACATGTGAGTGTGTAAAGGAGAGACTTGAGAAACAAGTGTATTTGGAAGATGGAAGGAAGGACCCCATAAGGACATGACTGGAAACATGACGGTGTGTGTGACATTACCTGGCCTTTAACAGCCAATATAAAGCCACATAAGCATTGGTCCACTTTAGTAATAGAACGCCACATACATGTCAGCATAGATGAAGTGTTTGAAAGTACTTTTACCTCTGAGCAGGTCTGATCTGGGTTTGGGCCATCATTTAGCATCTGAAGAACAGGGCTGGTCTCATTCTCTTCAGCTGCATCAGGAGTCTGAAGGCCTTTCACCTGAAATAGACAGACAAGAAGAGACTCAGAACTGTATTAAGAGACATTCACAGGCTAATACAGTCATCTAATGGTGAAACAGCACTGAACTTTGTGGACTAAAAAGCAGCTCACGTCTATTCAAGGAGTTTGCAGGGGATGAAATGAAAATATTTCTTTAAAACATCTAACAGCTCAGATACAGTATGCAATTATGAATGTTAAAATCATAGTTGAGGTCTTGTCAGGTGTTGCTATAGTGCATTAAAAACACTTACAGTAAGAACTGGACGGAAGGGCCCCACAAGGGTCTGACTACAGACATACGAGTGTGTAAAGGAGAGACTTGAGAAACAAGTGTATTTGGAAGATGGAAGGAAGGACCCCATAAGGACATGACTGGAAACATGACGGTGTGTGTGACATTACCTGGCCTTTAACAGCCAATATAAAGCCACATAAGCATTGGTCCACTTTAGTAATAGAACGCCACATACATGTCAGCATAGATGAAGTGTTTGAAAGTACTTTTACCTCTGAGCAGGTCTGATCTGGGTTTGGTCCATCATTTAGCATCTGAAGAACAGGGCTGGTCTCATTCTCTACTGCGGCAGCAGGAGCTTGGGTTTTTTTCAACTGGATTGCAGATAAAGAAGAACTCATTTTAAAAACACATCAAAGACCAAATATTAAATGTATTTCCATAGACAGTCAAGAGTAATATTGGACACATGGTTAATATTGGAGAAATACAAAATTTGCTTTTGCAAAAAAAAAAAGAAAACTCTAAACTTAATCTAACCAACTCACCTTACTGCGCCAAGGCCATTTTGAATCACCATAGTTGTAATCAATTTCATCTCCTATTTCTATTTTCTTCAGAGAAAATAGGCACAAATGTGGTTTGTTGTCAACTATGATTTTTTTCATAACGCAATTCGGATTTTGGTGGTTGTCGTTGACCAAACGTCCTAGAGAAAAATCGTCTTGCGATGCATCCAGGCTGAAAAGTATCAGAAAAATGGTAACAGTTTTACATCTTTTTAAAAGTTTTATTGAAAGAGTTATTTTTAAAAGAATTTAAGAGTATTTGTGCTTAATTCATTCATCAAGTATTAAACCCTTGTTTCAGAGTTAACTCGTAATTTCTATAAATCAATAAAAAAACATCCATCTTTCAATGTTTACCATAAGTGATGATTCTGCCACTGAAAGTCAAAGAGAAATGTGCTTTCAATCTCTGAGTATTTTCTTGACTTGCTTTCCTCCTGTGTGAGGAGTTTACCCCTGTACTCCAACACGAAGTCCCCGGGTTCAATGGGTTGTGTGGCAAACACTCCTCTTCCTACAATAATATATAATAATTAAACATTTCATTCTGGGACTCAAAAAGAGATACTACAGTATTTTCAAAGTGAGGATGAGGTTCTTGCGTCTAGTCAGTGTATTACCTGCAGACAATGATCACAGATTAAGAACGGACCAAACTGTCAGGGACCAGTCGATTAAATTCATTTTTAATGACGCAGTTCCTACAACCTTTCCCACTGGCTTAACATTAGGTGTCTGTGCTAATCATTTTATCATTTGGGATCAATCAAGATGAAAATTTGCCTTAAACTCTAAACTGCAGCTAGTCTACCACAGCAATAGGCATCATCCTGACACTTCAGTAGAATATTCTGACAAAGCACTCTGACAATCTTGCCTGGGCTGTAAATTATCACACTCACTTCGATCACTGTCTGTCTTTGACAAAGGCAAAAACTGTACCTGGTCATTACATCAACAACAATACTTTTTTTGCTTCTGAAATGCACAAGTTGTGTCAATGAATCTTCTGCAACTTACCTTTGTAATGGTCAATGAATCTCGGCATAAACCCATCCTTGTCAGTGCAAGACAGAATGTATGTCTTTGCATCGTCTATAGGCTTTTTCCTCCTCCTCCTTATGGACATAATGGCTCTGTGAAAATAATTGTAATTCGTAGTTAGTTAAGGCAAATCTCACAAAAAGGTATTCTATTGTGAAAAATAAATAAATAAACAGACATTCATACAAACATTGCAACAGCTGTGTAGCTTTGCTATTGCAGGATGCATATTGTTTAACATCAAACACGGGCTAATGAAATATGCAAATTCTGAAATATGCACAATGAAAGCTGACCGAGCCTGTTGAAACTGAGAAGTTAACTTGTTAGATGATAACCATGTTATGCTGCACAGACACTCAGTAATCAATTTAAACTAGGGCTGTCAAACTTAACTTCTGGTACAGCAGCATGGCGGCGTTGCCACATGACCATTGACTGACAGCATCACATCCTTCCTCATACATACGCGCATGGATGGTTATGGGGGGACGGGGTCCAGGGTAGGCCGGTACCACCCAGACAAAAAGCTTGGTGAAATATATATATATATATATATATATATATATATATATATATATATATACACACTGTCTACCAGTCAAAAGTTTTAGATCAGTAAGATTTTTTATGTTTTTAAATGAAGTCTCTTCTGCTCACCAAGGCTGCTTTATTTGATGAAAATTAAAAAAACAAACGGTAATATTGTGAAATATTATGACAATTTAAAATGACTGTTTTCTATTTTTATATATTTTAAAATGTAATTTGAAAGCTGAATTTTCAACATCATTACTGTTGCTGATTACACATCAGTTTTCAGTGTCACATGATCCTTCAGAAATCATTCTAATATGCTGATTTTATGCTCAAAAAACAAATTATTATTTTCAACGTTGAAAACAGTCGTGTACCATTTCACCCCAAAATTCTATGATGAACAGAACGTTCAAAAGAACAGCATTTATTTAAAATATAATCTTTTCTAACATTATAAATGTCTTTACTGTAACATTTGATCAATTTAACTCATGCTTGATGAACACAAGTATTTTCTCATTTCTTTCCCCCAAAAATAAAAAAATAAATTCTTACTGACCCCAAACTTTTGAATGGTAGTGATTAATGTTACAAAAGCTTTCCATTTCAGATAAATTCTGTTTATTTACACTTTCTATTCATCAAAGAATCCTGAAATAAAAATGTTAAAAAAAAAAACTGTTGCTGATGATGCTGTAAATTCAGCTTTGATCACAGGAATAAATTACACTTGACTATATATTCACATAGAAAACTGCTGTTTTAAATTGTAATATTTCACAATATTACTATTTTTTATCAAATAATAGCAGCCTTGGTGAGCAGAGGAGACTTCTTTTAAAAAACATAAAAATCTTACCAATCTAAAACTTTTGCAAAGTAAATTTGGGAAAAAAATTATATTATTTTCTCTCAACTGTCCTGCTCTAACGAACCACCTGCGGGTAGGATGTTATTCCAAAACGGCACCGTACATTAGCTTCAGTCCTGCGTTAGCTTCTGGCTAACCTCCATTAGCGAGTCCTGCCCTGTCTTGTTTACAATTCACAACCGATTCTACCTTTAACGACACGATTTCACTGCACCCCGTCTCTGTCCCGCTGTCATGTCCGTGGTGACGTTATTAGATTATGCCAACAGCTAATATTATGTCGCTAAAGTTAGCTACATGGCAGCTAAACGAGGTAGCAAACATCACGATGTAACGCCAAAATACTCACCATAAAAACCTCACAATTCACAACCAACTCTACTTTTAACGACACTTCACTCCACCCCGTCTCTGCCCCGCTGTAATGTCCGTGGTGACATGTTATTAGGTTACGCTAACTGCTAATAGTAAAATTATGCCGCTAACATTAGCTAAATTGCAGCCACAAACATCACGATAAACTATAACGCCGAAATAAACTCACCATGAAAACCATGCCTAGCTTACCTGATGGATGCAGAGGTCGGTGTTTGTAAAAATGTTATGATTTCCAACCCGTCTTCTTCTGTCTTCAATCTTCTATCCTTGAAGTCGTCTTCTTCTTCTACGTTACTTGTGCAATTTCCGCAGTTTTCCTTACTTTCGCGGGAATCGCGGCTGATTGTACAGTGCTGTAATTTCATTGGCTAAAGGTTTCAGATTCCCGCGGTGTGTATTCGATTTCGCGGGAAGTGTAAACCTGACTTCCGGTGAAAAAAAAGCTCGACGATACACACCTACACACAATTACCCACTTTTTGCTACCTTATGGGCCACTTTTTAGAGATAGAAAAAAAAGCAATGGGAGCATCAGGGGAAGCTGCTGAGCTTATTTAAATTGAAATCGGAGTGGGGCCCACCATTTTGGGCCCCACTCCGATTTTGGGACTCCTTAGGTGGGTGTGCTCCCACCGATGGGGACCCACACCGACGTATTTGTAAGTACACACACACACACACACACACACACACACACACAGAGAGAGAGAGAGAGCGAGAGTTCGATCACGCCCGCGCGCACTTCAACCATTCAACTACCCACGCCTCTCTCTCTCACACACACACACACACACACACACACAGTGTACATGTACCGTTCCACCCCTAATACATATATATTTAAACCAACTTAAAGCAGAACTAAGTAACTTTTTTTACCTTAACTGAACAGCTTTGGAGTCATTGTAATGTTAATATTACTGATTTCGTGTTGAATGGTGATCGTCTCGCACCCCCCTGGTGCCTGTGAGCCGCAAAACCACCCTTGCAACTTTGGGCCGGCGGCTCGCCGGCCTCAGTGTTAGGAAGTATCGTGAGATTTCAGGTCTCGCGAGGTAATGAATTGCTTTACGGCACTATACGCGCACACGCATGCGTACACGCCCCCGGCCATCCAGGAGCCGGCTAGCTATAAGAAAAAGGTAACGCTAGATATTGAATTCTTCAAGTTTTCGTGATGGCTGATGTAAAAGAAGAAGAAGACAGCTCGGAAGTGTTTATCAGAGAAACAAAGAAGAGAAAACGGACCGGCTTTTTCAGAATAGAGAGAACTGAAAGAAAGCGAAGCCTGCAAAACCGATGCTGACCTGGCCTTCTTGCTGTTGCACTTGTAAGTATCTTTATAATAAACTGTGTTTAATGTTTGTATTTCTTGTAATTGTGACCTCGGGAGTCGGGATGTTTGCTATTGTCTGTTTTTTTTTTTTTATATTATGCTCGCTGTCTGTTACCGGCTTACTAGTACGTTAGATACTGTAACTTAGATGTTAGCATTTTCATTAGCAAACAAACTTGCTTGTTTTCTGTAAGTAAGTGTTTTGTCCGTTCCTCTATCAGGGTTTATTTGTGTTTCTCAGATCGCCTATAAATCGATATGAAATTCTACAAATTATGCATTAGTTTAGCTTGTCGTCAGCCTCAGAATTAGTAACGTTATACTGTGCTGCTGACTTGATAATGCATTACCGACACGAGAGCTGCTAGCTAATAATGCAACTTTTTTATATTTATTTACCCACATTTACACAAACAGAACTATAAGTAAACGATAAATTGCATTGCAACTTCACACATGCAACTCCATCTGTGCTATTTTGACCTTGTCTATAAATGATATGTTGATAAAAGATTGATACATTTTCTTTTTCCTTTTTAGCTACAAGCGTTGGCAAGTGTTATCAACTCCGAGGCACCCCAGACCACCAGTACCACTGGTCTCAAGCTTCAATAATAAAATAAACAAACTTGTAATAAACAAATTAAACGTGTTTGACTTTCTTTGGTCAATCGTTACGATAGACAACTCGGATTACCAGAAAAATGATGAATGTAACGTAACATGTATTTTGATAATGCATAATCAAAGTAGCTATAGCTGTAGGCTAAACTAAAAATAAATAAATAGCGGAAATATTTCTTATAGTATTATTGATTTTTAACCATAATGTTACTGATAACGTTTGGTAACACAATAAAAATATACACTATCTCAACATTTGAATAATATTGTTCTGAGAATCATACCGCAGTGGATATGGCTCGGGCGTCAGTTTGGTTTGAAATGTGCTGGGGACAGAGACGCATTCGGAAGGGCATTTTCAAAAGTGCTGGGTAACGCATTCATTCTTTTTTCTCTTTCGAGTAGGTAATGTTTTGAACGACGATGTCCATAGCTTCCTGATGCACATAAATAAAAATGAGCACAATACAGTGATGGTCCGGCCAGAGGTTCCGCACTCGAATAGTTTTTATTTCCCCCTCATCAAAACCAATAATGTTTATCAGTGGTTGAATTGATATAATGTTTATCAGTGGTTTTATATGTTTTGATGAGTGGGGGAAAATATACGAGAGAGGAATTAGAAACCATGAGAAAAAGGGACACGTTTGTGTGCATTTTGATTTGTGATTTCACCGGAAAGAATCTCCGCAACGGATTGAAGCGCGTTTCTGAGAGAAGCCAACACATTTCAGTGCTAGATCGCCTGTTATTTAACAAACAAATGAAACGAATGCTGTTAACTGGAGATGTTTTATTTGCATTGGTACATCTGTGCAGCGAGATGTTTCAAAAGTGGTGGGGACAAAATCCTTTTGTTCGCCGGCTTCTCTGAAAACAAATTCACATGGCCTGCCTGAACGAGATGGGAGGGGGAGTTGACAACGAGTTTACGACAGTTTTCTCATATATATATACTCCGAAACTGTAGGGGGAGCTCGAGAGAGAAACCTGCGAGAAAACAGCAAAGAAGTTTCCAGTCTTACTGAGCGCTGCTTTAACTTACCTTGATTTTTTCAGAGCTCGCAATTGACCGGGATGCAATAGCCTGTGTCACGGTGATTTGTCTCGTCTTACTATGCTCCATGCGTATTTGTCATTCTCCGCATATGTTTAGCAGTGGCAAAGTGTTTGTCGATTGACGATTTTCTTTTATGTTCGACAACAATATTGCACATCTTGCAAAACAGTTTACCCCCGCTTTCATAAAGAACATCTGGATACTGTTTTTCGCGGTACTTTGCTGTTATTTTTGTTGGTAAATGTGAGACGTTGGCTGCACACGTCTGCTGCGTCTTCTGAATGCTGAGGGAGTGAGTTTGATGACGCTTTGCAGGAGACCGCGATGATTGGTCAAAGTTGCAGAAAAATTGCGGTGATTGGTCAATATTGCACGGCACACTGAATTCACGGGAATTTGTTGAAGTTGCGTTAATAGTTGCGATCGCGACATCGCGAAATCCTGGAGGGACTGTTCAGAGCCATCTGGAGCTGACAAGACTTGAGGGTCAAGTTGTTGACTGTCCCTTATTTTCTGCAGTTGTTTCTCTGCAACCTCCTTTTCAAGTTGTTTGGTCAACAACTTGACCTGTTTTCTCTGAACAGAGAGTTTTATTCAAAATTTTTTTTTAATGAATTCACAAAAACAAGAATGCTAGTTTGAGATTATACTTACTGTCAGCTCTGGATTCGTAGACCACCCCGCACTCTGGGCAGCCCAAGTTCCGGAGCTTTACCCCTCATCAGTCGCAGCAGAATCGTCCTCTCCTCCCCTTTTATGATACAGTGCTGCGACCGGAGGTGATACCGCAGGTAAAGAACCTGGGCCGGGCAGAGAGGACACGTCAACAGCATCTTTAAAAAAATGGAAACAAAGTTAGTTCACACAGTTGGGCACCGAAAGGGCCCCACCTGTAAATTATTTGACTGGACCTCTTTAAGCTGTCCGTGGTCAATGCAGTAATAGGTCATAATTCATCATTCTAAATGTTTTGTTACTTTAAAAAATTCAGTACAGTGCACAGGGCAATTAATCCAACATGGTATAATTTACAGTTCATAATTAATGCATTGTTAGCTTTAAAATTAAATGTGTATCCTGTTAAAAATGTATAAATCTCAGGTATCTTTTTATTTTGGGGGGGAACTCTCAGCTGTCAGCCTTTCTTCCTTTGGAGAAATTAAATAATGAGCTCAAACAGGAGGACATTATGCTTTCTACACAAACTTTTTATTTTAAAAAGCCATTGGCTTCTCTTTGTATTATTATAAAATCCTTAAAGGGTTAGTTCACCCAAAAACGAAAATTCTGTCAGTATTTACTCACCCTCATGTTGTTCCAAACCTCTATGTGTTTATTTGTTCGGCTGAACACAAAGGAAGATATTTGGAAGAATGTTTTAATCAAACAGATTGGGGATTGAGGGTGAGTAAATGACAGAATTTTCATTTTTGGGTGAACTAACCCTTTAATAAAAATAAACGAATGAATCAAAAATAAAATAAATGGCATGTCCACGGACAGCTTACACGGACCCTGTCAAATGAGTTGCAGGTGGGCACAGAAAGGGCCCATCTGTAACTTATTTGACTGGACCTTTTTAGGCTGTCCGTGGTCAATGCATTAATTGGTCATAATTGCAGGTCATGGGTTTCATAACAGGTACAACAGGTATAAATGTTTTATTTTGTTTTATTTTAATAAAAAAAAATACCTCTAAAACTGTAATGGTTCCAGTCTGACCGTGGAAGGCCTATTAAGTTGTGGCTGGGATGATCCACTCCATTTACAGGCAAGTGTACATTAAATTACTTTAAATGGCACTCCATTTCTAGGTAAGTGTATATTGAATTACTTTAAATTGCACTCCATTTTTAGGTAAGTGTACATTGAATTACTTTAAATTAAACTCCATTTACAGGTAAGTGTACAGTAAATTACTTTAAATTGAACTCCATTTACAGGTAAGTGTGCAGTAAAACACTTCATTTTGGACCCCATGTACAGGTAAGTGTGCAGTAAATGACTTCATTTTGCATCCCATTTACAGGTAAGTGTACGGTTAGAGGCTCTAGGCAGTGAGTTGACCCTAGTCAGTCCGCACCAGACCTTCCAGCGAGCATGTCCATCATCCGGGCATCTGCAAAAATGCCAGCGGAGACCTGCCCACTTTGTTTACGCTCGTATGCCCTGCTCGGGCAGCACCTGGTGGTCACCCACGACGTCAAGAACCTGGAGGAGAGGAAGCTGCTCCTTGCCATGGAGTCGGGGTGAGTGAACGCCCGTGCAGGCCTCTGCCCGCTTTCTGCATGCGGGAAATTTTCCAACCGACTCAACCGCCACATCCGCAACCACTCTGAGGTCACGGCGGGGGTACAGGATGAAGCACTCTGCTACTGTAAGAGGAGGGTGTGTCTGGAAAAGCTGACTGCCCTGAGGGCCTCCAACCCCGCTCCTCCGATGGTGTCCACCCTTGACCTGGAGCAGCACCAGTTTATGGAGGAGGACCCGTCCAACCCCCAAG